GGAGTGTTCGCTTGAACTAAGATAAATGACATGTAAAAGTCATGCATAAAGGCTAAAATGCTCAAATGTGCTTATCATTTTCTACACTATCTATTGGGGAAACTGGGTATTGCAGGGAAAAGGCAGAAGTATAATAATAATAATAATAATATAATATATATAAAATAATATAAATAAATTATATAAATTGGAAAAGTTTTGGCGGATTAAAAAGCCGAACAGGCCACATCCGGCCCTCGGTCCTTAGTTTGCCCATGCCTGGTCTAATGCTAACATTGCTATAACCGGATTTGACATCTTTCTCCGTTCATTTATTAGTATTGGAACTAGAGAAGTAAACTGTAATGCACCCACACATGGATCACACAAAATAACATTGCGGGCTGAATATGAAATAATAATTTGCAACATGTGAATTTAGAATAATAAAGGATTGAGGGTTTTTTTTAAATAATAAGACTAAGAATAACAAAACTAAACTATTGCGAGCTTCTATGTTGGGAGTTAAACCATTTCACAAGGACAAACAGGTTGAGACATTGAGGTGAACAAAAAACCAAACTGCAGTTCTTTTGCATGAGTTTTAGAGGGACGCACAGCTGCACACTAACCTTACACCTTATGGTTTTAGAGGGCCGCACAGTTCAGTACAGCTGCACACTAACCTTACACCTTATCTTATATTACCATGCGCTGCCATTGCTCAATAACTCCTTGGCTCCAGGTCCAAATATAAAAAACTGTTTTGATAAATTACACACGTCTCAATGATCACATTTCAAACCTGTGAAATTATTATTTCAGAGGACTTCAAAACTGTTCTTTATTTGCTTTTTATTTGGCTTTTTATCCCCCAGTGATGCACCCAGTGCTACACAGTCGAGTGTGAAGTGTCAATAATTAATAATATCCCACATCACATCTTGTTTATAATAGTCCTTAAATGACATACTGTAAGCTTGACAAAAAAAAATGTTTCAAAGATTGTAAATGGTGTTTCAAATGTACATACCTTACCATTTTTCACACCTCTTCAATGTGTCAATTTTTTAAAAAATTATTTAGTCATTATTGCTTTAACTTTTCAAGTATTAAAATGCAGCTAACACGTGGTCTAATTGTAGATTTGATTAAATGTAAATCCGAATGCATATGTATAAATCCGACTGTTACGGCTAACCTGTACACTACATTAGTTTTGTGTGTAATGATATTTATTTCTAAAAAAAAGACAACTGTATAAGGTATTGGAAAGATAAGGTGCACTTCTTAATTTTTTTTTGTACTGTACTTGTATATGTATGTAGTTAAGTATATACAGTATAATGTAGTGTGCTCTTACATAATGGAGAGATTGTTAAGATTGCAAAATAAAGACTTAAATCTTATTCCAAATGAACCAGAATTCAGATCTATGGCTTAAGTTTTCAGAAACTTGTATTTTTAAATACTTGTCCGGATGAACTGTATCATACTGTGATCTACATTCAATAATTTACAGTGATAAATGTAGATTGGACTCTTATTTATTTTCTAGAAAATAAAATTATATAAGATAAGATTATTTTGACAAAAAAAACTTCTATAAACACTCTTTTTTTGTCAATTTTTGTACACTTAAATGTGTTCGTCAGACTCCAAAACGGTAGGGGGCGGTAAGACGCCACAACCGTGTTTGCCTTACAGGAAGTGAAATAATCAACAATTCAGCGCCATTTCGCTGTCCATTCAACGGGCCTTGGCCTTGTGTTTATATTTGGGTGAGTACCCACTTTCTTACGACAAAATCATAAGGATTTGGTTGTTTGCTGTAAATGCTGACCTGTTACAAAACATTTGCTGCTTTAAACGCTGTTTTGTCAACTAATGTTAGGCGATAGCTGGATAACGTATGTGTTAGCTTCCAAAACTAGCGCCATTACACTGAACTGAGAGCGAGTGTCGCTCGGAAAACTAATAATTACCGGGTTTTGTTTTGGTTTCTTAAGAGGCGACAATCAAAATATTTGCAGACGCAGTACAGACTTAGTTAGCCTGTGGGATATGCTCAAGTACAAAATAACAACACTGGAAGAGTTAGCTTGGAGGCTACAGTGGCTCACAGCTAAGCCACGGGTTGATTTCGTTTAAACTAAAAGAAATATTTTTGTTGCAGCAGAACCAGGATATACTTTTTTATTCGCGTATTTATTAGTCTTAAATGTAAACAAAATAAAACATCAAATTCTGGCGAAATACACCGACACTTATCCACCCAATAAAGAACACAACCACATTGCATTTTTGTAAGTGTACATTACATCATATTAACAAGACCGGCGAAAGGAGCAGGAGAAAATAATAAATATTATATAAGAATAAAACATACCTATATGTGCCTATACATAAAGGTATGTACAGGTATGTATATACACATACATACATTAAACAAAGTGTAATAATAATACAATAATAAAAAAAGTAAAAATCTAGCATCCAAGGATTGAAAGCAGCAACCCAAGAAAATAAAAATCTAGCATCTAAGGATTGAAAGCAGCAACCCAAGAAAAATTTCGAGCTAAAATGTTGGTATACAGAATGATGATATACAGCAGTAGTCATCAATAGTATTGGCTGGTAGCCCCATTTGATGATCATGATGTTTTATTTTTCATTTAAAAATTAAGTTAAAGTCAATGTTTCTCAATTTAATTACCGCCGGGGGACAGAAATGTTTTCACGGTGCCCCAACCCACATCCCGAGAATTAAAAACTATTGAGAACTTGATAATAACGTGTATATTTTTATCTGTACAAACCACAGTATGAGTTGCTGCCACCTAGTGACGAGAGGCTTGTTATCGTTCAAGCATTACAGTAGTGGTACACGGTTGCCATATTACATTGGAACTCCCTCCACCCGTCCCCCCACTATTTGAGAAGTACTGAGTTAAGTAAATTCAGAACCATCATTTGTAACATACACGTAGTTAAATTGCAAACGATTTATTAAAATAGAGTATTTGGCATAGAAATTTTGTCACTTCAATGATAGAAACTACAATGTGTGGTGGTTGTGTCAAATGAGTTAGAGTGTGAATACCAGCTCACTGATGAGGCAAAACCTTTGCGCCCTTAAAGAGATTATTTTTCGTGGTCATTTCCCTTTGGTGACCCAATACTTTCCTTCACTCTTCAGGAGACGGAGACCTTCATCATGGTGAAGATATTTATTGGAAATCTTGCCTGCAACACCACCGCAGAGGAGCTGCGTGAACTCTTTGAGAAGTATGGCAAGGTCACGGAATGTGACGTCGTCAAAAACTATGGTTTCGTGCACATGAGCGCCATGGCTGATGCCGAGAAGGCCATTGAGAACCTCCACCAGCACGAGCTGCACGGCTGGCGCATGAATGTGGAGCTCAGTAAAGGGAGGCCGAAGTCCACCACGAAGCTGCATGTCAGTAACATCAACCCGGATGTCACTACTGAAATGCTGCGGGTCAGGTTTGAGGAGTTTGGCCCAGTAGTGGAGTGTGACATAGTCAAAGATTATGCCTTTATTCACATGGAGCAAGTGGAGGATGCCATGGAGGCCATCAGTAAGCTGGACAACACAGCCTTCAAAGGTGAACTCTTGGCCAGAGGAAAGTGGTTTACGTTCATGTCAGTAGAAAATATGGATTCGGTTCTGTCACCTGATTTAAAAACCGCTAAATGGTTTTTGGCAGTAAAAAATAGCTAAAAAATGGTTTTTGGCAGTAAAAAATAGCTGATAACTGTTGAGTGGGTGGACTTACACTTGTTACTTGTAAGTTTGCCAGTCTTGTATAAATCCTGGGCAGTGTGACAGGGAAGTCACACCGGCAGCTATCACCCTGCTTTTGGCGCCAAGGGTTATTTTGCTGCGCTCAGTGATAAGCGGCCAAATGCTTTGAACTTGCTTTAGACGGTAAGATCCTTTTTTTTTTTCGTGTGCACAACCCTTCGGTCTCATGCGTTTCTTCTCTCTCCTTACAAGGCAAGCTGATGAGCGTACAGCTGTCCACAAGTCGGCTTCGCACAGCCCCGGGAATGGGAAATCATACTGGCTGCTATGTCTGCGGGAAACATGGTCATTGGTCGAAAGATTGTCCACTCGATCGCACCGGTAGCCACGACGACAGCATGAGAAGTCACAGTGGTCGAGCCCCCCCTCGCAGTCCGCCAGGTTATGGCCGGGGTGCCTACGGAATGACCTCGCATCCATCGGCTGATTACGTGGGTGGCTCTGCGTATAGTCAGGGTAGTTATCTAGATGGGATTCCACCACCGCCGGCCCCACCTCGTAGGGTTGGTGGCTACGGCTCTGAAGCCAGCAGTAGGTATGCAAGCAGACCAGCAGCCTCCTATACTGAGAGGCCATCGGCTTACGAAAGTGACCGTCCTTACAGCAGCATTGATTACTATGAGAAGTACAGAGCTCGGCCCTATGGCTCGAGCTATTTCGAAGATCGTCGTGTTCCCTATGTTCCTCCACCTCCTCCTCCCCCTCCCTCCATGTCAAAGCTATCTTCTGGTGTAGATCCGTACCGGCCAGTGCTTCCCCCGACGTCGGCCGCTGCCGCCGCCGCCGCATACTACCCCCGAGACCACAGCCCCATCAGACGGATGCCAGACTCGACGCCAGCGTATGCCTATGAGCGAACACGATTGTCCCCTGTGTCCTCCAGGAGTTCCTACGCCGTTCCACGATCCAAGGATCATTACACACAACGATATGCTCCATATTAAGACTAGGGGGGCCAAGGTGAGCAACTCAGAACAATTGTTGGCACGCCATTTAAAAAAAAAAAAGGGGGAGCGGGATTCTCCGAAATAGTGGGATAAAAAAAAAAGGGGAGCGGGATTCTCCAAAATAGTGGGACAGCCTTTCTGAAGGAGAATCCTCTGCTCTTTCGTAGGTCTGTTTGTGATCCACGGGACTTTGCTTTGTCGGTCTATCTTAAAAGCGGCGTGATTTCACCTGCGACCGAGACGCTCACTGCAGTTTGTGTTTCAGTCACATTATCGCGTTCTATTCTGCTAAGGAGGTGTTTGAACAAGAACTACACAGTCCGAAAATATGTGGTGTACAATGACACCATACAATGTTTGGTTTGTTTTGCGGATTGTCAAATCGTTTTTTTTAGCTATGTTATTTTTTTTTAATCTCGTCCGTACTTGTTTCTCATGTAGAGCAATTTGTTCAACAGAGGAAATGTGAACTGTTTGACTTTTGGTTGTTTTTGAAGGAAGGCTGGACTCGTGCCTAAGGGGCTCATTATCTTGTCATATTAACCATGAACTTAGCTTGTTTGTGTTTGTTCCTTTGTTTTGAAACAACTTTCGTTGTTGTTGTTTAACCTTTTGTAACGTTATTATAGGTCATACCTTAATGTGTTTAGTTGTATGGATTTGGAAAAACAACAACTCACTATAAACATGCATTGTATATGATGAAATGACAAAAGCAACTCCCTAGTAACTGCTATCTTGTTGGTTTCCGACGTATCTCTGTGTGAAGGAGGTATTTAGGGAAACGTAAATACTGAAGACATACGGCTGATGAGAAAGGGTGGGCATCTGAAGACATACGGCTGATGAGAAAGGGAGGTATTTTTGTGTGCAAGAGATGTGATTTACTCACCGATGTCAAGGGCAATCGGCAGTTGTTTTGTCTTCCATCTTGATCTATTTTGCCTAATCAACAGTTTGTTAAAGATGTTAATTTATTTAGTAGCATTAATCCTTCATTTTCCAAAAGTTGCAATTGCATTGAAATAATTTAACCATGTCTGTACAAGTTCCGTTGCCTCTTCCATGTAACCATATGGCCCAGTCTTTGTATTTTCTAATACAAGTTCAGGCTGGTAATGTCTGATCAGGTAATAGGCAGCAGAAGTTGATGTAATAGCACAGAATTGTCAAAAGAAGGTCAAAATGACCTTACCAGTTGATGACATCCCCAACAACCCAGTTTATGCTCTTACATACTCATACATGGTCAAAAAAAAATCATTCCAGGTTATTTTTTAATTATTTCATTGTGTTGGCATAATAACCAAAAATTAAAAGTGGTTTACACAAAAAATGGTGGACAAGCATTTGTTTGTTTGTTTTTTTTATCAGCGTGAAATCTTTCTTCTTTGTCAGGTTTGTAGATTGTATGTATGTTATATTCGCAAGTTAATGTGCATTTTACCACATTATTCAGAATGATTGGATGTAGACACGTGAGCACGCCTCTGTTTTGTATATATAGTGGAACCTCAGTTTTGGAATATTATTTTGCATATAGGTTCATATGCGAAACCAATGAAAATAATTAGATCTGACCAAAAAAGATAAACACAATTGAATAAAGAATAAAGCTATAAATAGGACAACAGGCAATTTCATTCATCTTTACAGGAGCTGAGGAGTCGTGATTGTGCAAGATTCGTTTTGCTTTCTCACAAATGATTGTCTCGGAAATACTGTCGCCGGGCAACTGCTTTTCGTTGATCCAAATCACTAGTAACTTTTCCAGTTCTTCTAATGTCTAAGATCTTTGCTTGGTGATCACAGTCACTCCTTTGAACCTGCTTCCTTGTTCTTAATGATGGTACAAATCAAAGACTTTGCTTAGCCATACTGTAAAGCCAGATCTGAAACACAAAGGCCATTCTTGTGCTTTCATAAAATCTTTACTTCTATTGTTTGTTCTCACTTTTTCTTTCCACCTTTTCCATGATGATTTATGAAATAATAATAATAAAAAAGATATAGCACAATGCAAGAAATACGGGCAAAATCAGACAACAGTTTTTAGCTCGTATATCCTGAGTACATACTGAGGTCACACACAGTCACTTAGTGATCACTTGCTGCTTGTGTGGTATTATTGGCTTGTTCAGCAACTGAGATATGGTAAAATATCAGAATAAAATAAAAGTCTGAAATCAGTGATTTCAAGTCAATATTTCGGTGGGTATTTTTTTACTAGTTGAAGGTTAATTTGTAGGCGTGACTTGGGATCAACGTTTTCCTAATTAGCCAGTTAAGATAATAGGAATTTACATTACCACTAAACCTTAAGTATGAGAAAAAGTCAATCTTGATCATTACGTTAATATTTTTAACCCATAATTTCCCTATGCTAACCTGCCTTGACGATTGTAACATAAAGACTTTTTTATTGTTTATATTTGCCCATAATTGTACGTAGCGCAGTTAGAACATTTTGACTTTGAAATTGATTGATTTTTATAATTGTATAACAAATTTAATTCACTTGCATTGTGCCTAAATGTTTATATATATATATATAGTCAACAAATAAGTTTTAACATTACAAATCAGCTTGACTTTGTTCATAGAAATATAAGAATATAAGAAATGAATGTATTTGAGTCAAAGTCGGTTACAATCATTAAAATTTGAAAACTAAAATTAAGTATTAACTGGCAAGAGGAAGTATAATTAAATGGCAAAATTATGCATAACACCAGTATAATAGTCTTGTAGTTCTACAAAAAGTTGAGACAGTAAGAATGCCAGACAAAGTCTCGCGACAACCCACTACGGTTTCGCTAATACGTTGGATAAATTGGCCCCTCCCACGAAGTGCTAACCGCGCTACTCGTCCCTCTGTAGCACGGCGATAGCTTAGCGGCGAAGTGTTGAAGAGATTATCAACGAACGCATCGGTGTTTCACGGTCCAAAGCGGACGTATATACAACAGTTGAAAAGGTAGGAACCCACTCGTTCTCACAAAATATAAAATAATGCTACTTTTTTAAAACTATATATATCTGCCAGTGTGTCATGTTAGCAGCGGTCTCGGACAATTATCTTAAAATATAAAATAATGCTAGTTTTTAAATATATATATCTGCCAGTGTGTCGTGTTAGCAGCGGTCTCGGACAATTATCTCTGTATGCTAAGCTAGCATGCTATAGTCGATGTATTCGAAGTGGTTGCACTAAAACCCGAGCAGCGATGCTATTTTACCATATCAACCAGTGTTGTGTACTTACGAAAATACTTTAAGTCGTAGGTAGTATTCCTTTGTAAACTCCGGAGTTACAACGTACTGCTCATGCTATTAATGGAGGAACCATGCGGTTCATTGTATTGAGATGCAGGCCTGCTTTTAACCGATGGTTAAACCTATTGAAATGCGCCTGAAAACTGCCTACCAACCCCACATTACTTGTGCAATGCCAACTAAACAAGTTGTATCTGCGTTTTTGGAACAGAAAATCGTAAGGATGCAAAGTGTTAAAACTGTCTGTGCGGCTAAACTATTAGCCCATTGATAACCTATGAAAGAGTAATACGTAGCAGCGTTCGTATTCTTTCAATGATGTTATGAACACTAAATTGGTTTTAATATTTCTTGGGTTTTTAAATATTTAGTTTCTTGGCCCTATGTGATGCATTGATGTGTCACCCCTAGATAAATTTGTTTGACAATTTAATTTATTTATTTTAGAAAATAACACTCAATATTGGCATTGAACCTATTGTGGCCTAGCATATTGTGAGATACAACAGACAGTTATGAATATATATACATTTTATAAAGGCAGTCATTGTCAGTTAAATGTTTTTTTTTCTGGTGTTCCGATGTTTCTTTAATTAAGTGCCTAATATTTTCAATGTCCTTCCACTCTCCATAGTGACTTGGTAGCTCCAAAATGGTGAAAGTATTCATTGGGAACTTGGCGTCAGAGACGACTTCAGAAGAACTTCGCTCCCTCTTCTCCCAGTATGGCAAGATTGCAGAATGCAGTGTCGTCAAAAACTTTGGCTTTGTCCACATGGACAGCAAAGCGGAGGCTGAAGAAGCCATACGTAACCTCAACAATTACGAGCTAAACGGTCAACCCCTCAATGTTGAATTGAGTCGTGGCAGGATGAAAGGATCAACCAAACTGCATGTTGGCAACGTTGCGTGCTCCAACCAAGAGCTGAGGGCTAAGTTTGAGGAGTTTGGTTCAGTGTTGGAGTGTGACATTGTTAAAAACTATGCTTTTGTTCACATGGAGAGATTGGAGGATGCCATGGAAGCCATTGAACAGTTAGACAACTCAGCTTTTAAAGGTGAACCTTAGTGTTGGGCTTTAGCGTAGCTTTTCCACATGATTAAATGTAAAAGTATTTGTACTCTTACTCTGAATTAACAGGTGAGTTGCTGCAGGTAAGTAGAGTACTGACAACAGATAAGTGATGTTCAGGTAACTTATTAAGACCTGTCTCTACTCTCTGTGTTTGGATTTTACCAGTAACATGATTGATTAAATCCCACCAGGAAGGTGAGCTGTGTAAAGTGGGTATTGCTGAAATATAAATCCCACCAGGAAGGTGAACTGTGTAAAGTGGGTATTGCTGAAATATAATTTTCCCTGTCCATAAGTCAATACCTGGGTCTATTTAGTCCAGTGGTTCTCTATTTAATTTCCGTCATGGCCACCGTTGGAGGCAGAAATGTTTTCACGCCCCCTCCGTCCGACCCACACCCCCGCGAATTGAAATACTATGAAAAACCTGATAACATTTTTGGTTTTGAACAAACCGCTGCATGAGTTGCTGCCACCTAGTGACTGGAGGCTTGTTAACATTCAAGCAAAACAGCAGTGCTACACTTATGTTCAGCATGCCATATTTCATTGGAACCCCCCCCTCACCGCGCTCCCCGAGGGGGGGCCCGCCCCACTATTTGAGAAGTACTGATTTAGTCGAACGTGTCGGACAGAAACTTTGACGCTGTATGCGTGTTCCCCACATTGTTCTCCGAATCCACTTCTCAATAGTTGCTCTACTTCGGGCGGTTTTCTAAATCACCTGCGGGCAGTATTTAAAGACCTGTGCACGTAAACACTTGCTTAATTCTGTCTGATTTCGTGCAGGTCATTCCCTGTCCATCCAGGCGTATGTAATGGTAATTTTGGCTGTTCTTAAAAATGAACATTTGATTTAGGTGGAACGTGAGATTATTAATCCCTGGTGTGTTTGCACTGCTACAGTGACCATTGACAAAGAAACGAAAAGCTGCGATTATGTTGTTTAAAAACAAATATCTGGTGTTATGTAAGGTTGCAAGTTCTTTAGTCAGAAGAGTGTCTTAAGTGAAAAAGGATCTTATATTAAACCAAGCAATGTAGCATTTCCAGTGTTGGTAAAGCGACACATGGAACCATCATCTGGTTACAAGTAAAGTTGCTACTTTTCTTTATTTCGATTTTTAGGTATTAAATCATATAAAGTATATAAAATTAAAAGAACTGCGATGTTTTCTAGCCTACATATGTTCTTTTTAATGATGGACCGTGTTTTTTTTTCTTTTCTTGAATAGTGCATCACAATTATTTTATTTTTCAAAAGATGTTTGCTTTTCTTGAATAGTGCATCATAATTATTTTATTTTTCAAAAGATGTTTGATGTATTATTTGACGAAACTGCCGGCAGAAATCCTTACTAAGTCTTTTCTTTTCAAGGCAAACTGATGAGCGTGAAGCTTTCCACTAGCCGCCTGCGTACTGCGCCGGGAATGGGAGACCGATCGGGTTGTTATCGTTGCGGGCAAGAAGGCCACTGGTCCAAAGAGTGCCCTCTAGACCAAAACGGCTACCACAGAAACGGCTCAGAATCTGATGGATACAGTGCTTCGAGATATGGCGGGCGTGGTCGCAACCGGGCTTATCATCCAGACTACACTGGCGATCCAGATTATGGTGACGGATATGCACCTGTACCTGTTTTGTCCCGTGGTTCTGCTCACAGCAGCATGGCAGGGTACAGGCGAGTCGCAGGCTACGAGAGTGCACCGAGATATGGGCCACCTCCGGGTTACAGCGTAAGCAACGTTGCTGATCATAGCGTGACTCAAATGTACGGCAATGAGGTGGGATACAGGAGCACCGGCTCATACTACGCCGCGGTACCACCTTACCCGACGCGGCGATCGCCTTACGAAGAGCGGGATCCGTACGGTGTCGTGGACTACTACGAGAAGTACAGGGCTAATGCATATGGAAGCGGCTATTACGAGGGACACCGCACTGTCCCCCTGCCTGCTCCGTCAACCACCACCACACAGGGTCCTCCCCACTCTATGAACCCATACCAATACCCTCCACCGCCTCCTCCACCAGCTTCAGTCTCCTCATACTACGCACGTGACCGGAGTCCGGTTCGGAGAGCTCCTGCCGAGGCGGAAGGATATTCATATGACCGGTCGCGTACATCCACGTTGCAACCCATTCCAAGAAGCTCCACTTACGATCATTCTGTTGCTGAGCGGCCACGGTATGCATACTAGCCGGTGTCCTAAGGAGCCATGCGTGAGCCTCCTTACCCCTCTAGAAGATAGTACGAAACAGTGGTTCCCAAGCTTTTTCTGTAGTTCCCCTCTTTTGTAGATAGGACCATTGTTGACAGATATTCTCTCCGGACGGAATAACAAGATCACTAAACAGTATAACTTTAAACTCCCCAAAGGAGCCCAGCCCCCAAAAACCAAACTCCCCAAAGGAGCCCAGCCCCCAATTCGGGAACCACTGGTATGAAATAAGACAATAACATGAAATAAGAAATAACTACTTCAGACCAGTGCTGTCATTCCTTTCCCTATAAAAGATAATTTTTATTAGCACCTAAGATCAGTTTGACTCATTTGTTAAATAGACAAAAGATATCGAGTAAACTCCACCTTAGATAGTAATGTGACAAGTAGCTCTGATTTAATAAAAACAAAATCTTTGGGTTGTACGGAACCCCAAAAAAATGCCTCCCACTGTAGTGTTGCGCACTACCTGTTGTCTCTCTTCGACTGAGACGCGCACCTCACTTACTTTGGCAAATAGTAGTCAGCAGTCTATCAATTACCAGAAAAGGATTAGCAAAAAAAAAATCAGGAGAACTTTGTGAGAGCAGGTTTGACAACATTGTGATACATCCATTATTACTTTAAAAAACAAACAAACATTGGCCTTGATGTTGGGATAATTGACTGCCCTAATTGGGTGTTTCTATATAAATCTCAGTCTGTAGGGATAGTGTGATTGATTGATTGAGTGAATGTGTGATTTTTTTTTTTGTTTTTTTTTTTGTTTTAAATGTCTAAAGCAGTCATGTCATTCCAGCTGATGCGTCAAAATACGGTAGGCTTTTTAGTTCATCCTATTCAGAAGTTGTTATTGTGCTAGTATGACTTAGTGTGGTGTAAGAGTTCAGCTGTCAGGGTTATCTTCAGTGGGTTTTTGTCAGCCGTGCGTTATATAGTAGTTTTACGTTACTAAACCTCACGTGTTAAAAGTTGTGCACAGTGCATGTTACAAGGGTGTCTATAATTGTTCTGATGTGTTTTCCATCCCTGCAGTGACACCCAATGCTGTCAGAAGCAAAGGCACCACAGATCTCAGTCGTGCTCACGTCTTTACATACACACTATAATCAGTGAACTTTAAATTTAAACTTGTATCTATATGATAAGTAGGGTTTTTGTATAAAGAAAATCATGGTTATGTGTTTAGGTCTCATAAAACAATTTGTGAAATTATATTCAGCTTTGGAATCTGTAGTTGTTTTCCTTTTAATTTCTTTTACTTAAAAACAAAGCTTCGTTTAGATATGTTAAGGTTTTGTGAGATGACCTCTGTTGGATGTGCTTTTATTTTTACTCTGAGGTTCAATAAAAGGACTGACTTGTAATTTTTTTTGCTGTTCTATCATTTATTACACAGTGACATAAAAGGTTTAATGTTTATCTGTTAAGAAAAAACAAAAGATTTAGAGCACTGTGTATAAATAGCAATTTTGTGCCATAGACCGGAAGAGGTGATGATTTTACATATATATTTACACTTACATTAAACATTACATTGTAATGAGTATTAATATGTTTACAATATAAAATGTATCTGCGTAACAAGTATTGATATGTTTACAATATAAAATGTATCTGCCCAATAATGGTGCAATGATTACATTTACATATTATATTAATTTCCTGCAAAACAGTCAGTGGGGGGTGACTTTTGTACCTATGTCAGGGTCCATACCTCTAAGGAAGTTGCAATTCTTCAATATAAAATGCATATAATATGGGGATGGCTCAATACAACTTTTTCATGTCTGCTACTGATTCTGACTCAGTCAACCTGAAGTATCTGTCTATACTGATATCAATCCAATACCTTCTTTTCTCCACCATGCTGCAAGCTACCGTTGCTAATGTATTTGGTCTTAGGCATCGGATGGAACAGGCTATAATTTCTGAAAACTTCAGAGATTATCGGACTAACACCTGGTGGTCGGAAACCCCTGTTTTAGACCACAGATGTAAGTCATAGTTTTTACAGCTAGAAATATGTTACTGCTGATTAAACATGATAGGTATACAAAAACATTGTTGTGTCAAATGTTTAAACAGCTTTCAAGAAGTTGAAGTAAAACATGCCGTAAGAATCATAGAAATAATATTTGGTCAGATCTGATCAACAGGACCTTTGGCCGCGATACTGTTGTCGGTCAAATAAATGGAATATAGCTCAAGAACATTGTGCATCCTGTAAGATTACTATTGTGTAGTCATTTTGAAGTTAGTTGAGATACAGAGTCTCCCATGACAATGGCCCAAAATGGACCTTGTTAACTGTTAAAGAACTATCTCCAGGTGGAAAAGAGAGTGGTCGACTAATCTACACAAAGTCCAGGAGTTAGAAGACAGTAGTGTCAAAAATAGGTTACCTTTAAAACACCAACTTTACCTGGCCTTCTTACATGGTATAGTGACCACTCAACACATGTAATATACAGTGCGTATTTATGAGAGGTTAAAAAGACAGTACTGGCAAAAGTGCATTTCTTTCAGTGTTATTACAGAATAATGCACAAGTTTAATATTTACCTCTGTGCACAGATTAATTATTATAAACATTTGATTTTCGGATTCTATTTTGCACAAAATAACGAATTAGACTTTAAGTCCTTTTATGTTCCTTGACCAAATTGGACACATTAACCACCCTATGTTTGTTACATGTTGTAATTTATTTTCAATCTATAAGAATACATTTCTTAACTATAAAGTAAATAAATATACACAGTACAATTAATTATGACTCTTAGCGATGTAAATTAATATTGAGGGGAGTTTATATTTGGAAAAAAAATGTCCTGGCTGTACCAGAAGCACGTCAAAAAGGCGGACATGACATCATAGCAGCGATATAGTCGACAGTTACCTTAGCGAATCGAATTTCAAATTAAAGATAGTAGGGCGGAGCCTTCATACAGCCAATTCGAAGTCTTCATCTTAGCGGATCTTCTTTGTGGTTTTCTGTCGGCCGCCATTTTGATATAAGACTTTCAGTGGGAACGTTTTCTGTTGGCGTCTTTATTTCGTATTTTTTGATTTAAAGAAGAAAAAAAAAGCAAGAATACAATAGTAAGAGGAAAGGCGGTTTTAATAACTGAAAATGGCCACGGGAGCAAATGCAACTCCTTTGGGAAAATTACACCCTAGTATTGGCGCTAAACGAGGGTTTGACGCCGGGCCTGGGTCTGGAAACGGCTTAATGCCAACACCGGGGCCACCAGCATCTTTTTCCCCCATTCAAGGGTTTCAGCCGACGATGACAAGTGTGGGTTTTACGCAATTCAATCCAGTGCCAGGAATTCCGAACCAGGCCCCACAGCCAGCGGTTGTGGTTGGTGGACCAGGGAAACCAGGTACGTTGTCGCTCCATAGTGCGCCTGGTTTGACATGAGTTAGTGTTACGTTTACCCTGGGCTAACATAGCTTAGCATTGAAGGCCCTTTAAACGCATTTTCTGTGACATTGGGGAAACCTTTGTTAGTTAAGTTATACCTTGTACGTTAGTGGAAAATTACATTTCCTTTTGATTTAATGCATTAGATTCCATTTAACTATTTTTTTTATAGCTTGGTATAATACTGACCCGAGTACAGATGCAGGTTGAAACCAAACTGCGCTGCCTTTACGTGGTTTTGTTCCTTGGTTATTAAAGTTGGTCATGTTAAGACTAAAAGAGGTCAAACCAATTATATCCCTAATAGAAATGTTCAGTTTGGTTTAGCCACATTGTATATTATTGCTGTTTTTCTTTAGATTTTGGTCAGAAGAAACAAAGAAAGAAGAGCCGCTGGAGCAGTGAGACTCCTGATCAGAAGACGGTTATTCCTGGCATGCCTACCGTTATTCCCGCAGGATTGACCCGGGATCAGGAGAGAGCCTATATAGGTAAATGTTTTTTTGTTTTAATCTCACGTCAACAGTGGGTTGCATGTAAACAAAAAAATGCAAATGTTTTTGTTTGATCAACTGCATTTGTTTTGAATTTCTAGTTTTCTTACATAACACTCATCCATATGTTATTATTGTACAGTATTGTGCTGTTTGCTGACTTCCCAACAGCTAGAGCTCCACAAGATTTAATATACTAACTCAAAGCTCTGAATTATGTTCCTATGTATTTTACAGTGACATTTTGTGTTAAAATAGCCTAATGTATAATCCTGCTCCAACTGTTGAGACAAAGCAACAATAATTCAACAAATATCAAACAGTGTGTTCTATCCAAAGGTAATTGCAAATTATTCTCTGAGTAAATTGGGTATGCTTTGGTGGTCATTCAGTTTGCGTACCATTGGGCACCCATTAGCAAGAGGAGTTTGATAGAGATGAACAATCACCACTGCTTGCTACTGTTTGTCTCGTACTGCACTGCCACTGTCCAATGTTTTGCCTGGTCTCCTTACACATCATTAATAATGTTCCTGTGCATGGAGATGTTCCTCATAACGTCCTTTCATGCTAAATATCACCCTATTTGTCAAGCAGTGTGCGAGCAGTGCTGCAATGGCTATTTATTCGACCAGTTTAATGTAACGTACTACAGCTGAATTTGTTCTCAATGACCAAATTTGACTTCTGGTCTGACACCTTTACCCACTGATGCCCTCTAGCAGCAGTGTAGCACCAACACGCTGCCTTCACAGTCCCTTACCAAGGTATTATAAAGCAGACGTGTACTGAGTAGTTTTCAATAACTGACTTTGCTTTTGATGATGATTACTCATTGGTAATGGATGTTCTGCCTTGGTATGTAAACAATCATTTTGACCCACCTCTTTTGTCCTGCTTGTCATTCTTGTGCTCATTTCGTAAATCTTCCAAAAATCAACAGGAAGAATGTAAAAAAAAAATGCAATGACTCTTGAGATTTAAATCTCATGCCTTTAAATGATATAATCTTGAGTAAGTCTATGATCAGTGAATCTCTGTGTTGATGGAAGGGGATTAATTATCAACATTAACAAATTTTTCTTCATTGCCCGATGAAATATTACAATGCTTTTTTTGGTTACCGCAGTCCCTCAGTGTTAATCTGTGGAGTTACAGGCGTAGAGGTCATCACCTGTTTTGTTATTAAAACATATGAGACGAGGAGACCTGATGTGTCCTTAAAATGTCAGCTCGTGATTTAGAAACCTTTAGTCTTGTGTAAAAGGTTAACTAAAGTAGCTGTTTTCTTTTAAGAAAACCTTAAGTCTTGTGTAAAAGGTTAACTAAAGTATGTCATGGAAATAAAGCTGCAATATGTATAGGTAGTAACCTTTTTTAAGTTAAATTGATGTTCCATAAAAAAATTTTTTTTAAAGCTAAATGAAACAGGCTACAAACCACTGTGCAGTTTTTCATATAATATATATAATTTTAAATATATATAATGGTTTGCAGCAGAGTGGTAGGAAGTAATAATCTAAGTCGGTTTTAAAAAGCAAATGTTCAGTTCGGGAATGTTAGCTGCTGCTTTGTTTCCATGAAATACAGTTTATGTTGGGCATTTTTTTTGGAGCCACACTCTAGTCGTTTGCCAATATGGTACCATGTTCTGCCATTGTCTAACCCTGTTTGTGCTAATGTACATCTTACCATAAAACATTTTTTAATTGGATATGGTAATTCCTGTGTCAAAAATGTATTAGGCTCTCTATTTAAAGTCCCTCTGTGTTGTTATGCTGTATTTATGCTGATTCACGTGTTGTTTTTGCCTTAGTATTAAATGGGACAGTGCTCTTCTTTGCAGAGCCATAAGTCTCTGTTGTTGTTGTTGTGGTAACCACATTTCTCTCCATCCTTGTTTTTCTTTCCTAACCTGAATTCTTCCAGTCCAACTGCAGATCGAAGACCTGACTCGTAAACTTCGTACAGGAGACCTGGGAATCCCTGTTAACCCTGAGGACAGGTCGGAAAAAGATTAAACCCATGAACAGTAACATTTTCTCTACCTTCTTGACTTTTTGGAAGAAACAAACATTTTCTGTGTTTATGTGGTGCTTAGAGCCAGATTTGTGTAGTGGTAATCTAGAAGCCTGCTTGTATTTCTGGGGCTTGTAAATACAGAGTAATAGTTATCTTCCAGTTCTTGTTAAGGGGTTTATATTATTTAGATTCAAATGCTAGAGGGGGTTGAGTTACATAGAAATGCTGTTTCATTCTAATATTTTTGGTAATTTTACCATTACAGTGCAAATGTGTTCTTGTTATAGAATGTTTTAAATTGCCATGTGTGTTTAAAAAAAAGAATAGAATCCTTTAGAGAGAGAGAGAGAGAGGGAGGGAGGGAATAGAAGCCTTTAGAGGGAGGGGGAGGGAGATAGACACTATATATGCTTCCTAATAGCATCTCATAAGATGTTAAATATCAGTATGCAGTTAAAACAGAATGGAGAGGTTAGATAATTCCACTTTTCTTTTAACTGTGTTGCCAAGACTGTGATGTGTTTGGGGGGGGGAATCAGCTTGGTAAAGAAACCTTAATAAGAATGCATCTCAGTTGATGTTATATTTTTACCCAAGGTGAGCAGAATGTTCTATATAGTTTGAATTATTTCTGCTTTTGTCTTTAATGTTCTACTCCGTGATCTTTAGACTATCCATGTTGCTGTTTTAAGCAATTGTAAGAACTGCATCTTTCTATACAAAGTAATTGTACCAGAAAAACTCTACCAAAGGTCTTTTTTCCTGACTTTCTGGGATCTAGTGGTCTCTCTGATGCCCTATCTGCACAAGATTTGTATTACCTGGGGACCTCTGGTAATTTGTAAAATACCCCCCTCTCTGGATAAGCAAAGTTTCTATTTCACTCATATTTACTGACATTATGGCTGGATATGATGACAAAGCAGCTGCAGCAGCTTGACTTTGGAACAGTGTGCTGCTGCTGTCGGGATAACGGGTCGTCGGGGCATTTGTATTAAGCGCGTTGGAAGATAGACAGCCATGTTCCTTACTTCATGCTGCTATGTATGTCATCCATCTCGATATCCTCTGAGTATTCACTCTTCTGCGGTATCTGAGATTACTGTTTCCGTGAATGGGTATTCTATGCACAGAGATGAGAGTCCTGCGTTTGCACCTAAAATCCTGTCAAAACTGCCATTCATAATTTATACCGCAGGCCTTCATGATTTAACCGGGCAAGAAGTAGAAAAGGGTTTTTGTACGGAACTAGTCTTATCATTGGTATTTATCGAAATATGCAAGGTAGCTTGCGCACGGGATTACATTTTTGAACATTCTCCGCAATTCTTACAAGTTACCAGAGGACCCCCAGGTTATACTAATCCTGTGCAAATAGGGCTTAAGATTTTTAAGAGATATTTCTATAACAAAGGAACTAGGGATGGGCATTTTAAGCAAAAGTACCATTTAGTCGTCATGGTGAACTGATCGATTCCTTTTTGACTATTCGCCCTTCACAACCCCCTGAAGCTGCCGCTGCAACATGGGCAAAAGGAGACCCATGATTTTTATTATAACCCCCTGAAGCTGCCGCTGCAACAAGGGCAAAAGGAGACCCATGATTTTTATTATGGCAGTAATAACTTGCTAGAATAACCTTAAATGCACAACACAACATAAGGTGCTTAAACGGTCAACACTAAACATGCCGGTCTTCATGACGATAAGCCCCACTGTGGAAAAGACTCTCCTGTTGCTGTGGCAACATACCCCAGCTTTCTATTGGGTTTTATTGAAGTACTTCCACACTGAACTTACTTTATGGCTGAAGTAATCTCTCCACTTGTTTGTTTCTTTATCAACAGCGACATCTAACATGCACACACATGTATCAAATGCTATACGGCCCCTTGCGGAAGGTGCCAATATAACAAGGGAATATTTTTTTGGACAGATTTTTCAGATAAACTATTCGATTAATTATGATTGAACGAATGTTTGAAAATCATTGCCCATCCCTACAAGGAACTAGTGTTCTTTTTAGAAGATGTGAGGTACATTTGAAATCTCCTGCGTCCAACCTGTGTCTCTTCCTTAATCAAAGGTGTTTGCAGGGGGTCAACATCCACATCTTTTGGATGTAAAACCTCTTTCCTTTATGGACACTGAAAAGTCTGGCAGATTAAAATTATAAAGTAAAAATGTTGTCTAGAGTCTAGAAACATGGTGCATTAAAATAACGCGGGAGTACTCATTTTATCACGTGCCTTTAGGTGAAGTAGTTCCTTTAAAAAAATTGAAAAAACTCTTTCACACTAGTGAAGCAATGTAACATCACTTGATGTTGGATATTTTAATTCAGTCTTTGACAGTAATAGTCTTGTATAGCTCATACTTACGTAGATTGCATTTAGTTCCTGTCTTTTAAATGATCAGGGCTTCAAACTTTTTTTTGGATTGAGGGGTCACTAGGTCCTTCTGGGATTGTTGGGAGTCTAGTTAAGTTCCAAGAATACACACATTTTAAGAAGCATAGAGGCCAACTCCTAACCTAGTCTCCTAAGAATCTGTTCCCACAGGAAGTGGCTCACTCTCAGCAGTGTGTGTTGACCTCTTAGTTAGGGTCCCTGCCAGCTGTACACTGTGTAGGCTTTCTCACCATAATCGGAAATTTCCACAGAGCTGCAGAACTCTAAACCTCTCCCCTGATCTAACACGTCACGTCAGCTGGGAGTGTTTCAGGTTGTCGTCGGTGGAAGTTTGAAGCATAAAAGGAAAAGCTTTTTTTCCCCCCCTCACTCTTTATATCTGTTGGACAAATATGTGGTTCTTAGGTGGAAGAGCATAGGAAAAGGTGAAAATCTAATCTTAATTCCTTTTCTCTAACCCAAATTACCCCACATCAACCCTAACCCTTTTTCAAGCACAGAGTCTCCTTAATGCAGCAACACAGGTTTTCAGCATCCAAGGGAGGTATGGACCTCTTCCTCCACGTCAACACCGAGCAACTCTCAAAGCCTGCGTTTCTGTTTAGGATTGCGTATTTTGCTTTGGGTTCTTTTTCTTACCTTCAGCTTTTCTTTCCTTGTAGGCCAACAATCCTGTATGCAGGTGTAGACATGGCCGTTCAATATTTTTCTTCGAATTGTGTGGTTGGTGGCCCTCCAGTGAAAATAGGTTTGCCACACTTTGGGCCCTGTTTACACGGCGACAATACAGTACAATACGATGACAGTAGCCTCCGGATACTGAGTGTTTTTAAGGATCTGGTGCAAACAAACCCCTGAAAGGAGAAGTACAATATGACTCTGGTACCTGACACCACTGTGTCAACCAAGCACTAACATACTGTAATAGTCATGATGACAATAGTCATTCATGTTGTAATGATGGGTGAATTGTTGGGTGGGTATAGTAGGGGAGTATGGAGGCATGGTGAGAGTGTGTGTGAGAGAGAACAGACAGAATGACGAGAGAGACGTTAGAGGAGCTGCAATTAAAACAAAAAGTTCAGAGTTGTTGCTACCTGCAATAGCCAAAGTTGTTAGAAAGCACCGGGGCAGCTGTCTGATCTGTCCCTGGGGCATTACAATACTTACACAGGAAGAATTTGAACCGGAAAAACCTTGCACACTGTAAACAAACTCAAAGGAAACACGAAAAGGCAGGGCTGGGTAACTGTAGCACACCAAATAGCTGAATTAGCTTCCCCTGCACGGTCAGAAGGCGCTTGTATTCAGAAATGTTCAGTGGCAGTGAGCAGGGTTACTGGGTTAAATGTATTCAGAAATGTATGTTCGGTGGCAGTGAGCAGGGTTACTGGGTTAAAAGGCGACAGAAGTGGGCTGACTGTATCATGTCACTGAAGTGTCGTCTAAACACTAAAGTGCCGCAGTCCAGAGCCATACCATCGCTGTGTAAACAGGGCCTTAGATCTGGTTGCCCCCTCCCCATCTTCACACTGGATATTAACGATTATGGGCTTTAGCCTTTGGAAGGTCAGTGCACAATAGCTACATATTTTTTCACTCTCTTTTTACACTTCTCTTTTTACACTTGGTTCCTGCACTGACCACGGTTTACAGTCAGCACCAGATTTCTCAAGTTGATGAACATTTTCAGTAGTGTATCCTTCATTAATATTAGACTTCAGATTCCTATCTAACGATATAAAACTGCCGTCGTTTAAATCAGGGGAAGAAAGGATGTCTAGCTTGTTAATGCAATGTCTCCATCGTTAACAAATATATTGATGTTTTTTGTTGTTTTTGTCCTCCTTTCTGCCGTTTTCAGGTCTCCATCTCCTGAGCCCATTTACAACAGCGAGGGCAAGAGGCTGAACACCCGGGAATATCGCACACGGAAGAAAATTGAGGAGGAGCGTCACTCCCTCATCACCGAGATGGTGGGACTCAACCCTGAATTCAAGCCTCCCGCAGACTACAAGTAAGGATATTAATGTCCTTTGTCCAAACTTGATGCTATATTGCTTCAAATCTCCACTGAACATATTTCAAACACTGTAATTCCAAAGATTGATATTCTTACAGAGAAAAAGGAAATATCACATATCCATGTTTTTTTCTTCTCTGTGGCACGACTGAAAAAATATAAAGTTGCATTACTTTGACCTGCTGTCCTCCAAAAAAGCCTGTCCCCCCACTTTGAAAACCAATAATGTAGGTTAACATTTCAATAACTATGGATTAGCAAGTCATACTCCAATCTGTGGGTTGTTGCCTCCAAATCTGCTAATTTGCAAACATTGGTCCCTTGATTTACAACCATCATTGCTCCTTAAAAAAAAAATGATTTAGAAAACTAACCTTGTGTCCTTTTCTTGCAGACCTCCAGCTACTAGAGTCAATGACAAAGTCATGATTCCCCAAGATGAATATCCTGAAATCAACTTTGTTGGTCTTCTCATTGGCCCACGGTAATTTGCCAGTAGTTTCCCAATGTGTGCTTCTACGTAGTGAAACGTGACTGAACGGTTGTGATTATAGCTTCTCACTTGTTGTCTCTTTGCAGTGGTAACACATTAAAGAACATTGAAAAAGAATGCTGCGCCAAGATCATGATTCGTGGTAAAGGTTCTGTGAAGGAGGGCAAAGTTGGCCGCAAAGATGGACAGATGTTGCCGGGAGAGGACGAGCCTCTGCATGCTCTGGTTACAGCCAACACAATGGAGAACGTGAAGAAAGCAGTGGAGCAGGTTAGGCTGATGTTTCTATATTTTGTATTTGTTGACAGCGGACATACTTGCACTCACTCAAGGTCATTGTACCTGTTGAAGTTAATAACACGGGTTCTGTTTACAATTTACCAGATTCGAAACATCCTGAAACAAGGCATCGAGACGCCTGAGGATCAGAACGACTTGCGGAAGATGCAGTTGAGGGAGCTGGCCCGACTCAATGGCACACTTAGAGAAGATGACAACAGGTCGGGCAATTATTCAAATGTGTGCGTTGGTGAAAATGACACGTTCACCTAAAACCACTCTACTCAAAGTTACTTCTGTGTCCGTAGGATTCTTCGTCCCTGGCAAAACACGGAGCCGCGCAGCGTCACCAACACCACATTGTGCACCAAGTGTGGTGGAGCAGGACATATCTCATCTGACTGCAAGTACACCAGGTGATCATCACTGTCACTTGTACAAAATGCTGCGTTCACGTGCACATCACATGACGTGCAAGGTTTTGATTGGGAGTTGAGAATGTCTTGGTCCAAGTTTTAATGTTTGTTATGATTCCATTTTGTCCATTTAGCACCTTTGCAGCGCACAGAGCAACAGGCGGTGAGCCTCCCCAGTCAGCCCAGGACAAGGCACGCATGGACAAGGAGTACCTGTCCCTCATGGCAGAACTCGGCGAGGCTCCAGTCCCTTCATCTGGAGGAGGACACTCCAGCTCCCAGGGTGGAGGACCACGTTCCTCAGGCCCCAACAACAACCAGCCACCACCAGTAAATACAATTGTGATCCATGTACCAAGTGATGATTGGTGTATTATATTTTATAGAAAAGTCACTGAGTTGTTTTTTTTTTTTTTTTTTTTTTTGTCCAGCAAAACAGACCTCCTTGGATGAGCTCTGGTCCCAGTGAGAACAGGAACTACCATGGAATGCAGGGGGGACCTGGTGCACCTCACAACTACCCTCCGCCCATGCCCAGTATCGGTGGTCCCCCCATGCCTCCTAACCCTAGTGGTCTACCTCCACCATGGATGCAGCCACCTCCTCCACCTATGGGCCAGGCTCCAGGACCTCATGGACACCCAATGGGTAAGACCTGATTTTCTTGCATTATGAACATCTTGAACAGTTCCTTATAAAGCTGTGGTGTGCTGTGTCACAGTGACAACTTATCAAGTTTCTTCTTCTTCTTCACTTCACGAACACATTACTGGCCAGCCTCACAAACTCATGTCTCACTTTTACACTTTTTTTTTTTTTTTTGTCTTCGCACAGGCCTACTGCCTCCTCCAATGGGTATGATGCCTCCTCCTCCTCCTCCCCCTAGCAGTCAACCTCCTCCACCACCTTCTGGCCCACTGCCTCCATGGCAACAGCAGGCTCCGCCTCCTCCTCCGACCAGCAGCATGGCAACCAGTACCCTGCCTTGGCAACAAAGTAAGTTGAGTTGGAAGAGAAGTTTAGACTTTAAGTGAAAGTCATACCAAGTAATGACAGCTCACTCTTATGCTGTTGGGTAACTTGTCCTGCTAAATTGATTATGGAATGACATTTTCTCACATGTGTCTAATTCACATGAAGAGACAAATTATGATATTTGACCTAATTTCACAGATAGTGAAGAGTTAAATGTGCAGTTATGTCCTCCTCCCCCTCAGATACAACCACCACATCCAGTTCTGCCACTGGCACCCTGCCTCCATGGCAACAGCCCCAGCAGCCTACAGCCTCTGGGGCCCAGCCCCCACCACCCATGGGATCCCAATCTATGGTTCCGCCACCTCCCGGCGTCCAGCCTCCGCTGCCACCGGGTGCCCCTCCGCCTCCACCGCCTCCACCCCCAGGCTCTACTGGCATGATGTATGCACCGCCACCCCCGCCGCCACCCATGGATCCTTCCAACTTTGTCACCATGATGGGCATGGGGGTGCCAGGCATGCCCCCCTTTGCAATGCCCCCAGCTCCTCCACCCCCTCCACCCCA